TTTTTTTTTTTTTTGCATTTTTTGGCTGGGGCTGGGTTTGAACCCGCCACCTCTGGCATATGGGGTTAGTGCCCTACTCCTTTGATACACCGGCGCTGCTCCATCTTTCCTTACTTTTGTTGCCTTAAAGCCTATTATATCTGCGAATAAAATTGCAACCCCTGCTTTTTTCTGGTTTCCATTTGCCTAAATTATAGATGACCATCCTTTCACCCTGAGACTATTTCTAACCTTTAAGGTAAGATGAGATTCTTGTATGTAGCAAATATCTGGTATGATGTATCCAGTCAGCGAACTGTGACTCTTTGGAGGACAATTTAAACCATTCACATTCATTGAGAGAATTGATAAGCCTGTTAGTATTTTGGGTGTCAAGTTTTTCGAAAGTCCAGTGGATGTTTTTAATCCTTTTGCCACTGTGGAAGTTGGGTTTTGATAAAAAGTTTCTGAGTGAGAGGGCAGCGCCTGTGGCTCAAAGGAGTAAGGCGCCAGCCCCACATGCCTGAGGTGGCGGGTTCAAACCCAGCCCTGGCCAAAAACTGAAAAAAAAAAAATAAAGTTTCTGAGTGAGTTTCTTTTGGTGGTAGAGTATTGTACTGGTCATTGTGGAGGATGGGTCTGCGAATACCCTGGAGAGCTTGTTTAGTTATGGCAAATTTCTTCAACATGTGTATGTCATTAAAGCATTTGATTTCTCCATCACAAATGAAACTCCCTTTAGCTGGATACAGGATCCTGGGCTGAAAGTTGTTTTGTTTTAGGAGATTGAAGGTTGATGAGCATCCTCTTGTGGCTTAAAACACTTCAGCTGAAAGATCTGCAGTCATCTAATATTCTTCTCCTTGTAGATTATGATTTTCTGATGTCTGGATGCTTGTTGAATTTTCTCCTTCAAATTAACCTTAGCAAAGTTAATTACAATGTATATAGGAGATGCTTTACTTGGATTGAGTCATGCTGGGGTTCTGAAACTGTCTGCTATCTGAATTTCAGTATCTGTTGCCATGCTTGGGAAATTCTCATTGATTATATCTTGGAGTAGAGCATTCACACATTTAGGAACACCCTCTTCTACTTCAGGAATTCCTATAAGGCAAATGTTTCCTCTTGAAGTGGTCTCACAACTCTCTCAGAGAAAGATCCATTTTTACTCCCCACTTCTCTCATTCTTAGAGCATTTGGGTGCATTCAAAAGCTTTGTCTTCAACTTCAGAGATCTTTTCTTCTGCCTGCTCCATTCTATTACTGAGGGATTCTACTGTATTTCTCAGACCTTTGAAGGTTGAACTTTCTTGTGTCATCATGAGATTCCTGTCTTTGAATTCACTGAATTCTTGAGACAACTTTTGAATTACTCCTTGAATTTCTAATTCCAACTTTACTTCCATTCTGTTAATCTTATTTGGCATCCAAATTCTGAACTCTCTGACATCTCAGCCATTTGTTTATGAATGGGATCTTCTGTTGTGTCTCCTTTGTCATTCCTTGAGGGAGTTGATCTGCTCTGATTATTCATGTGGCCAGAGTTTTTCCACTGATTATGCCCCATGATTATTTTTCACTGTTTGGCTAGAGAAGCTGGTAAAGTGAAATTGGGTTGAGTGCTCCTGGAGTTGTAAGTAACCAGCCCTTTACCAAAGAGCTGGGACTAGTGCCTGTGCATATTCCCCTATAGCTTTACAAAGTTCCTGTTCAGTACTGCAGCCCGAGACTCTGGGGACCTGCTTGGTGTGATGGGGCTAAGTGACTCTCTCTTATATTCAGCTAGTCTCTGTCCAATCCTAGTGAATCAATGGCTGTGGGCTCAAAGCTCAGCTCTGGAAAAATATAAACAACTAAGACACCCCGCCCCTCATGGGCAACAACTGGAAGAGAAGAACCAGACCCTCCCACTACAGCACAACCAGAGTACAACCTTGGATGGTACCCAGGTGATCACCTTGGCCAAGAGTTCCAAACCAATTGTCCTGGTCAGCATAAATGCAGATCAAGTGGGAGAATTCAGAAGGTCTCCAGCAACTAGACAGCAGGAGTCCACTGGCAGCTCAAGTGTGACTCACTCTGGTGCTCCATGGAATCAGAAAGGCTTACCCAGCAAAAGAGTTAGTCCAGGGGGGCTGGTGCCTCCTTCTCCACCTTAGACCTCTGTCACACCCAGTCACTGGTAACCCTGTGAGGCTGTGACCCAGTTCCCTCCAATGAGCAAATGTGCCAGGGATTTGTGCCTGCCAGTGTCAAAAGGGAGTCAATGCCTCCTCAACCAGGCCACCACACCCTGCCACCAGCTGGAGGGGGAGCTGAAGCCTGACTACCTCAGGTGCTCAATGGAAACTGGGGAGTGTTCCTCATGAGTTTGTTCCAAACCAGAGGTTAACAAAGCAGCAAATGTTTTTATCCCTGAGAGATAGCACGTGTGCCCAGCCGCATTGCTTCACTGGTACCCCTGAAGGGCGAGGTCTGGCTCCCTCTAGCAGTCCACAGAATTGGGGAGGTGTCTCTCTGAAATTTGACCCTGGTGGGATCACTCTACTATTGCTGATGCTGCATGGCAGGTGCCTCAGGCAGTTCTGCACTTCTTTGTGGGTTCCTGCACCACAGAACGAGTTTCAGAACTTCTGTGTGGGTTCCTAAGCCTCCAGCTGCCTTGCGGCTACTGGTGCCTCCACCCCCTGCTGATTTACACCTTCATAGAGCCAGAACAGACACCCTCCCCCCTGTGCCTTTCTTCACTGCTACTGGTTTCACTGTTTCAGTGCAGCTACACTGCCATGGCCCATGCAATGCCCTGTTCTAGCAAAGAACCATGGACATTTTGGTCTTTCTCTGTAGGAGTTGGGCTTCTAGACTGCCAGATGAGGGGGGAAGGGTGGACTGGGAGTCCAAAATGGCAGGGAAAATATTTGTCCAACTTTCATGCCTGACAAGAGAAGTCCCAGGCTCACAGCAGGGTCTCTCTGGGGAAGGAGTCCCAGCCTCCAGAGACTCTCTCCCATGGTGTGAGACAAGAGGTCTTCAGTTCACCACTCACTTGCAGAGATCACACACCAAGCCACTCTCCTGGGGGAGGGGATGGATACTCATCCTCTTTGGGATGGGTTTTGTACCTAAAATTTGCTTTCTTGGAGTTGCAGCTTGCCTCAGCAGAGATGAGCAGTTATCAATCTTGTGGTCAGAGACTGTGTAACTTCAGTGTCCATTAATGTCACTCAGATCCCAGTTATCAATCTTCTCTCTTAGCTCAGCTCCTGACCTTCTGCTTTATTGAGTTCTTTATGGCCATTATCTCTCCCTCTCGATGGGAGCTTCTGTGGAAAGCTGGCTCCAGTTGGCCATCTTCCCCCTCCCCTCCTGCACTGAAATTTTAAATGGTTGGTTTGTCCTTTTTTTCTTGATAAACCCTGTAAAAATACAATACCCAAATTGGTGGGGATAGTGAGAGGGGAATTAAAAGTAGAGTGAGTACTATGGTCTGAATGTTTGTATTCCCTCCCACAACTCATGTTGAAATCTAATTTCGTGTGACATTAAGAGGTGAGACTTTTGGGAGGGGATTAGTACATAAGGGAAGAGACCTCATGAATGGGATTAATGCTCTTATAAAAGCAGCCCCATAGAGCAACCTTGCCTCTTCCACCATGTGAGGACACAGTTAGAAGGTGCCATTTATGAGCCAGAAAGTGGGCTTTCACCATACACCAAATCTGTCTTGATATTGGACTTCTTAGCCTCCAGAACTATAAGAAATAAGTTTCTATTGTTTATAAAGTTTATGTTATTTTGTTATAGTAGCCTGAATGGACAGAGAAGGTAAGGAAATATGACTTGGGCATAAAATTGCAATTGAACTTTGCTTTTTTAATCTTCCGGTTTTATGAGTTGGTTCTTATGATAAACAACCAATACTGTAAATTATAAAGACATATCTGAATAACCCAACTCTACATTTCATGATAAAAAAGTTTAATATCTGACAATTTCTGACATTCATGCAGTCACATTTCTGATATTTTTAACTGCCAATTGCAAAGATGAGCTAGTATAGCAATGAAATAAATATCTGCATTTTTCTAAATACATTTAAGGAAATGGAGTTCAATATTGAAGATGCCTGCATGAATGTTTTTAAGAGAAACTAGTTTCTTTGGAACTAAACCAATAAAGTGAACTTTTAGACAATTCTTTGATGTTCTTTTTGAGCTATTTATGCCCTTTTTATTCCTTGAAGGAGGATGTGGATTCTTCTTTTCAGATAACTGGGATCTGAGTGACATTAATGGACATTGAAGTTACACAGTCTCTGACCACTTTCAAGAAACATAAGCTAATAGAGGGGGGGAAAAATTGGAGGTGCTGCTAAATTAGAGGTGAGGAGGACAACAGTGTGATTAGAACACTAATTGTTTCATTTCACATTGTCAATAGATAAGCAGCCAAACTGTTAGCAAAAAAACACAAATAAAAGATTGGATTAATAAACTGACATTAAACCAGGCAAAAAGAAACAATTACTTAATAGCAAAAATGTTAACTTGTGGTGTGTTTTTGAAAGAAGAAATTATTTTGGTCAGTCATGGAACTGGATAATAGCCCCATGTTGCCCTGTTCTACCTTAATTGCTATTTCATGTGAAATAATCGCTATTTCTCGCATCCTGAGTTTAGTATCTTAATTTTTCACTAGAACAAAACCAGGGTCATTAGAGAGTAGCATACTTTAAATGAGTTTAAGACCTCCTATTCTTGTGAAGAAGCAAGGATACTTTCAAAGATGTCTGGAAGCTGTATAGAAGCCAGGTTAACAGAGCTCCCACTAGTCTATGAAAATTTGAATTAAAAAAAAGCGATTATTGTCACCTGGAACCAGTGGTTTATGAAGGACCAAAAGTCCATAGTGCCACTTACGAGAACAACATTAATTGTTTCTATTAATATATTATAGGTTTCTGTTAATACATTATGTAATTAGATTCAGAACAAGTACAGATTCTTGTAGCAAGGGTCAGAGGCTGGACTGTGGGAAGTGCACGAGTGATTGTGATCCTCAAACAAACTATCAGCTCTACCTGAGTCTGGGTATTAAATCAGATGTATGTGCTTCCTCAGATACTGGGAAATTGATATTGCACAGGAACTTGGGTATTTTTCATGTTGCTGATGAGGACAAACCTTTGTGATACTATCCTTGGTTCAAAATAGAGGGATAGGCTCAGCGCCTATAGCTCAACCGGCTAAGGCGCCAGCCACGTACACCTAGGGTGGCGGGTTCGAATCCCCAGCCCGGACCCGCCAAACAACAATGACG